ATGTGGCTGCCGCAGGGCGCTGTTGATGTGACGGTGACGTGGTGATTCTGCAGTCAGTGGCGCAGGGGTGACGTCACGGTGGTTTAACTGTGGAGTTTTATTGGTTGTGTGCAGTTGATGGTGGTGGCCGTGTGGTGTGGCCGTGACGGGTTTGGGTTTTTTGTTGAGCGGTAGTTGTAGTGTGATGTGGATTGTTAGTGGTGGTGGTTGCCGGAGATTCGATAGTGGTGGTGGTTGTATTTTTGTTGGCAGTTGATTGGATCTGGTAGCGACGATTTGGTGGTGGTGATGTGTGGTCTTGGTGTCGGTGGTGGTGATAGTGATAGTGACAGGATGGTGGTGGATCTCGTAGTGGCGAATTTGTGACTAAAAATATAATCTGTAACCAATTATTTTGTTGTCTATGGCCTAAAATTTATATAATATGTGACCGTGAAAAAATATGTGAGCAACTGAAATCTATAATTGTGTGACCTATAAATTTTGATATGTAACCAACGAATTAATTATGACTTACAAAATTTTTGAATTGTGACCGTAAAATAATCTGTGACGTATAAAAATTATTATTTGTGACTGAAAAATGATATGTGACTATCTAAATTATGAATCTGTGACCATATGTATAAATTGTCAGATCGGGGTAGTCGTCGGAACGGTCACCGGAATAATGGTCGGAATCGAAATGGTCGCCTGAACGATCGCCTGAGAAGAGTGGTGGCCGGAACGATTGTTGGAATGGTAGGAGTGGTGGAGGTGGGGTGAGTTAATTATATTATATTATAATTAAATATTTAGTAAAGTTATTTAATAATTAATTAATATAAATATTATTAATTAATAAATAAATACCTGAATTGTGTTAAAGATAACCCTGAATTATGAAATCTGGCGGGTCGACAGATTTGATGATTTTTTGAGTTTTTCTACCTAAATGGTCTAGTTTTGGACCTAGTTCTTGATTTCACGTGCTGCTTCAACATGCATTAGTATCAGGCGTCCACCCCATTCGCAACTTGTTTCTTGCCAATTTTTAGCGGATCAAATTCCCCCAATCCAATAGCACATTTTTCTATTTTCTATTGGGAACAATACATAATTCCTTGTTTTAAAGATCACATTTCATAAATAACAAACTTCAAAAATCTTTTCAAAAATCAGGTGTTAAATCAATTTATTGAATATTTTTAATTATAATATAATACAATTATCTCAATTTATTAAATTTCAAATCCAAATCATTTTCTCTCTCTCTCTCTCTCTATCCTCTCCCTACCCCTTCTACTACGGCGACCTTTAACGCGCCCACTCCGATGGCCTCTCCGACGACTGTTCTTACTGCTCCAATCTCCAAAAAAACTTCCAGAATTTCCAGTCGTAATCGGTACCAAACATAGCCTTAATCAATTGGTACGAATTTCCAGAAAATATTATTTTATTGAAGAATGTGTGGTTGAAAATGAGAATTGATTTACTGTTGAAAATGATAATTGGTACCAAACATAGCCTTAATCAATTCCACTTGTTTACCACTCCCTTTCAACCCTTGACCATACCTTGTTTGCCAATCTTGCAACAGGTTGAATCCTCCCACAATCACCAAAGTGCTTGGAAATTTCGTATTCTTCATGTCCATGGTAAGGGAGAGGAAGCGCTCCGACGGCGGCGACGACAGCTGCGACGACGTGCTCCGAAGGCGGGCACTCCTCAACGGCGACGACGGTAAGAGAGACGAGAAGAATGATGAGAGAGAGAGAGATGGGTAGAGAATGTAGAGAGAATGATGAAGATATGGTAATGGGTGAATTGGGAATTTGGGGGTACCGTTGGGTTGGGTGAAGTGAATTTGATAGGTTTAATTAAATTTTTAATAATTATAATTATAAAATATAATTACCACCTGAATTTTGAAATGTAA